GAGGGACACTTTTTATTTAATTGACAAAATACATATAATGTACATTTATCATCTGAATCATTTTGAAGTGCACAGTTCAATGGCAGTACCTTTACATAGATACACAGCCATAACTAACTTCTCTCTCCAGAATTCTCCATATTGGAAAACAGACTTGTTCCCATTAAACTGTGACTCCTGTTCCTCCTCCCCTGGTGCCTGGCAGCTGCCATTATCTGTCTCCAGGAACTTGACTGTTTTAGAACCTCACAGCAATGGAACCAGTGTCTGCCCTTTCGTGACTGACCCTGGGTAATGTATTAGACAAGAGGTTTTTCTTGCTGATCGTTTCCTTTATGGAGGCATGTGGGAAGTCCGCCAGGTCCTGCCACTTTCTCCTCTCTGCTGCTCACTGCTCCCAGCCACTGTGCCTCAGCTGCTTGGCCTCTCACACTGTCAGAACCTTTGCACTGCCGTTTCCTCTCTGGCAGACTCCGTCTCATCCTCCGACTTCGGCTGGACTGTCGCCCCCTCATCGAGACCTTTCCTGACCCCTCCACCCACAGCTGGTCCCCACAGTCAGTTCTGTTCCACTGGAACAGGGCACTGTCACAGCTCGACTTGACCTTGGTGGCACTTGTTTGTTGTCGGTCTTGAAGGCAGATCCCTCAAGAGCTGGGACCTCTGCTCTGCTGTTCACAGTTGGGCTCCCAGACACTGGCAGTACAGTCAGCACATAGTGGGTGTTTGCTTAGTTCTTATTTCTGTAACAAACTGCCACAAACACGTGACTTAAAACAACCCAACGATATTACTATATTTTTTTCTTAATTTGGGCATTGTCAATATATGGAGGTTTGTGTGTGTGTGTGTGTGTGTGTGTGTGTGTGTGTTTGCCATAGGGAGCATGTGCTCATCAGAAAGATGACAAAGAGAGACAATGAGAGGGACAGTGAAAAATCACCCCCCAGAGGAGATGGCCACACCACAATCCCTTCTCCATTCTCCTCTTGGGATTTTGGGCATACATGCACACACACCTGGAGGGAATTTCAAGTCACCAGGTCCAGGATTCAAACCATGTTTGGCCATGTGAGAGTCCAGTGCCTTAAGCACCATGCCATCTGTTGGTCCCATTTGTTTGCTTTTAATTTGCCAGAGAGAGACAGAGAGACATACACAGAGAGAAAGTACTCCCTAATGGGCATGATCATGCCACAATCCCTTCTCCACCATTTCTGCATCCTTTTGAAATCTGGGGCAAGCACACGTGGACATGTGCCTGGTGTGTTTTTCAAGCTGCTAGGGCTGGGATTTGAACCACACAGCTGGCCATGTGTGATCTGGTTCCCTTAACCATAAGATGACAGAATTGGCCCTATTTGTGTGGTTTTTCATTTCTCCCATGAGTTGGAGAGAGGGACAGAGAGACAGCACCCCCAACTGGGTCTCAACACAATCCACCCTCAGCATCAGTCAGCCCAGGATCATGAGCCCACGTGTTGCATAAAAGCATTGCATTTCACCCTATGCCACTATCCAGCCCCCAGATTTATTATCCTACAGTCCAGAGGCTCGGAAGTCCTAAGTCAGTCTCAGTGGACTAAAGCCAAGTGTGGGCAATCAAGCCTGAGTTCCCACTTTCAGGGCTGCGTTCCTGCAGAGCCCTAGGGCAGAATCTGTTTTCTTGCCTTTGTAGCTTCGCAAAGCCACCTGGGTTCCTGGGCCCACAGTCCCGCTTCACCAGGCCACTGCTCCTGTCCTCCCACTCCATCTTCCCTCCTGACTCTGTCCGCCTCTCGTCATGACCCTGTGATTACACTGGGCACATTTTGAACCCTCCATTTCTGAAGACCCTTAATTTTATTGCATCTGCAGAGCCCTTTCTACCATGTACGGTAACACAGGGGTCGCCAACCCCTGTTCTGGTCTGTGGCCTGTTAGGAACTGGGCCACACAGGAAGAGGTGAATGGTGGGCAAGTGAGCAAAGCTTCAGCTGCATTTACAGCCACTCCCCATCACATGTGTTACCGCCTGTGCTCCACCTCCTGTCAGATCGCCAGTGACATTAGATTCTCACAGAAGCCCCCCAGATGGGACTGTCTAGTTACAGGAAAACAAACCCAGGGCTCCCACTGATTCTGCATTATGGTGAGTTGTATAATTATTTCATTATCTATTACCATGTAATAATGATAGAAATAAAGAGCACAATAAATGTAAAGCAGTTATATCCTCCAGAAACCATCTTCGCCTCCCCACCCCCAGGCCTGGTGGAAAAATTGTCTTCCATGAAACTGGTCCTTGGTGCTAAAAAGGTTGAGGCTGCAGCAGTAACATATTCACAGGTTTTGGGGATTAAAATGTGGGCATTTGGGAAGGGGTATTAGTCACTCAATGTATTGAGGGAGGCCCAGGCTAGACAGCACAGACCATAGCATACTGGACTGCAGTGCGGGAAGCCATGTGGTGGTTCAGATTCTCGTGCCAGCCTGAAAACGCACTGGGCGCATGCACAGACACCCAGGATTCCAAGGGCGCATGCACAGACACCCAAGATTCCAAGGAGCTGGAGGACTGGGGGAAGGGAACTGTGGTGAGAAGACCTCATCAAGAGTGTCCTCTCTCTCTCATATACACACTACCATAAAAAAAAAAAAATTAGAGGCAGATGGTGGTGCAGCTATTGAACCTGAGGCAATCCCAAGTGGGAAGGTTCCCAGTTCAAGTCCAGAGACCTTCCCGAATACGATAGGCATGTACTTGTCCGTGATCCATGGTTGGCTGGAGGCTGTCAGTTGGTCACCATGTTGGGATCCTGTCAGGGGTGTTTTGTCTCTCTAACTCTTTTGTCTCTGTAACTCTTTTTCTCTGTATCTCTCTGTCATGAAAGAAAGAAAGAAACTTTAAAAGTTTTGGTGAATGGAAGAATAAAGGAATGGTTGGGTCCCTTTACGTATGGAGCCTTGAGTCTCAAGCTCAGGACTGGCTCAGCTGCTGTGTGGCTGTGTGAACCTGGGCAGGCCTCCTCCTCAGAGCCTTAGTTTTCTCCCTCATCAAACATGTTCTGAGCAACCACCACATGCCTGATCCTCTGATGCACTGTGAACACAAGAACAATACAAGAAGACCCCAGCCCTCCTGGAACTTGGAGCTTGGTTTCTGGCCCAAGAAAGAGAAAAACTGGCACAGTCTGCTCAGCTCCACATTGCAGTCACTCGGAGAACTCTGAAGTCCTGACGGGATGTGCTTACCAAGGAGGTGACATTTAAAATGGCTCTTGACGCATGAGTAGAAGTGTATGCGGTAGGCAAGTAGAAAGTGACATTCATGGCCAGGACTACCTCAGACCTCTTTGAGGAACTGTGAGGAGTGTGGTGTGAGCGCAGGGGAGGAAGGTCAATGGGGTGGGCTGTTTGGAAACAGAGCCTAGAAGGCCACAGTCCAAATAAATGTCCTGCATTGTGTTGGGCTTATCCTCAGGTTAATAGGGAGCCCCAGCAGAGTTTGAAGCAGGAGAGAGGTGTGTACAGCTTTGAGTCTGGACTCTCACTCTGTTGCAATGTGAGGAGGAGATTGAGGGATCCAGTGTCTGAGACCAAGGTGGGGACAGCTTGAACTGGGCGGGGACAGTGGGGATGGACAGAAGGGGAGAGATCCAAGGGAGATATAGAAAATAGAATTGGGATCAGCAGATGGCATAATGATTACATCTCTGGACTCCCATGTAATTGACCACGGCTCGAGTCCCAGACTGGTGGCTCAAAAAGCTCATGCCAGGCACATTGCTTATGTGCCCAAAATCCCAAAAGGAGAAGAAGGGATTGCAGCATGGCCATCCCCTCTTGGGGGGGCGGGGGGATTTCTCGCTTTCTGTCCCTCTGTTTCTCTCTCTCTCTCTCCTGCGAGCACACATGCCATATAGCAAAAACTTCTCTGCAAAGAAAGAAAGAAAGAAAGAAAGAAAGAAAGAAAGGAAGGAAGGAAGGAAGGAAGGAAGAAAAAAGGAAAGGAAAGGAAAGGAAAGGAAAGGAAAGGAAAGGAAAGGAAAGGAAAGGAAAAAGAAATATAATAGAATCAAGACCCAGCAGATGGCATGGAGGTTAAGGTACTGGATCCCTCATGGCTGATTGCGCAGTTAGAGTCCCAGACTCAACAGCCTGAAAATCACTCCAGGTAGGTATGCATACATGCCCAAAATCCCAAGAGAGAAGAAGGGATTTCAGAATGGCCATTCCCCCAGGGACGCTTTCTCACTTTTCCTCTCTCTCGTTCTCTTTCTCTCTACCTCCGGTGACCACACACTCTGTAGCAAAACCAGGAAAAAAAACAATTAATAAAAATTTTTTTAAAAAAATCAGTGGGACGTGACAATAGGTTAAGAAGTGGGATGTGAGGAAGAACCTGGGGGCAGCCGGGAAAAAAAAAAAAAAAAAAACAAAAAAACAGAACAAGCAACACAGAAGTGAGGGTGGAAACTCCTTACAAGACATTGGGTGACCACAAACTGGCTCACACTGGGACTTCGTGAGAAGCTCCAGAAGAGGCTGGTGGTGGGCAGAGAGACCAACCTAATGGTTCTGTAGGCCTTTCAGGAGAGGTCGATGACACAGAGTACGAGGTGGGCTACAATTCCAAGTGATCTGTAAACAACCACTGAGCTAAATAGCTGGCGCTGTGAATCCATTTCCTCATTCCCAGATGGGAAAACTGAGTTCCAGGGACATCCACGGTCTCGGCCAAGGCCACACAGGAGCATGCCCTGGGGAGCATGGGCCTACGAAAGGCCCAGCTCAAGGGGGATTTTTGTAAGCCTCTCAAGACCCAGGGTGGACAGGGTGGGGGGGTCCCCACCACAGAATTTCTTTGCTTTGGAGGAAGTGGGAAGTTCTCCTTTCCAGAGGTGAATGTCAGAGATTCTGGGCTCACCGGTGACTAAGAGGCATCTGAGGTGTGTGGGCGGAGAAGTCTTAAATACGGGGCCTCCTGTCCTCAAAGACTGTAGACACCTGGGCTGGGACACAGGCCAGAGATGGCCAGACTGCAATCCTCACTCCTGGCTGCCCTCATCATCCTTGCTGTGGTACTTCCATCAACTGACGCAGGTAAGTCTGGGGGAGGGGGAGGACAACTTCCTGCAGAGGGGACACTAGAGCACTAGTCTAAGCAGACAACCCCAGTCTACTGGTGGCTCCTGTGGCCTTAGGCTAGTTGTGGAGCCTTTCTGGACCTCAGTTTACACATCTGTTAAATGGTAGGCTGGAGGGCTTAGAGCCTAGGATCTCCCTCAGCTGGGTTGTGGGGTGGTGTTGAGCATAGCTTGGCATTTCCTTTCCCAGAGAACTGGAGCATAGTGCCTACGGGGTGTGGATGAGGAGCCCCCGAGCAGGTTCTTCTAGTGGAAAGCTAGCCCCACCCTTCCAATACCCCATTTTTGCTCCAGAATCTGTCCTCAACACAAGAGTTTTAGGTATATTTTTCTTTTTACTTTATTATGTTTATTATTTGCTGGGGGGTATGTATTGCTTGCCAGAGAGAGACAGAGAGAGAGGAAAAGTGAGAAATACCCCTTCCAGAGGGGATGGCACTGCTTCTCCATCATTCTCTTAGGATTTTGGGCATGCTCACACATGGGCCCAGTGTAATTTTCAAGCCACCAGGTGCGGGACTTGAACCACACGGTTGGCCATGTGGGATCCAGCCACCTTATCTACCATGTCACTAGATGGCCCTCTTGACTCCTCTTTACCCCACTATAAACTCTTGTCTCTGCACTGGGTGGAGGAATGTGCACTGGAGTGGGAGTCAGGCAGCTGTGAACAGTACTTGCTCATAGTCACCAGAACTCCCGAGAGCTCCGCATGCATTAAAGACCCCAGTAAGCTGGTACTATTACTACTATCACAACCGATGAGGAGGAGGAAACTGAGTCTCCGAGATGTAAATGACCTGGACAGAATGGCCCTGCAGCTCTAGGCAGAGAAGGACTCGAGCCCAGGTCTGTGTGATTGCCCGCTGTCCAGGCCTTGGTCCAGATTGTGCTATAGACTTGCTGTGTGACCTGGACCAGTAGTTAGCCCTCTCTGGACCGCAACCTCACCAGTGCACAATGCAGGGAGTGAAGAGTAGATGTGAACTGAAGCAGCCTCCTCGAATGTTTGTGTGCTTAGAGTCACCCAGGATCTTGTCGAAATGCACATCCAATTCAGTAGGCCTAAGGCCGTGGGCCAAGCATTTCTGATGAGCTCCCAGATGCTGCTGGCACTGCTGGTCCTCGGGCCTCACCTCAAATAGCAAGGATCTAAGGCTCCTGTGGTCCAGAGTCACTGAATCCCACCTGGAGCAGTTGCTCCTCAGTTGTTCTGGTCCTCTCTCTCGAGCTGACCACTCCAGAGTGTGGATACTGGGGCCTTTGAAGCTCCTAAGAGGCCCTAAGGGTAGGGTCTCTGAGGGCCAGAATCCTCAGGATACCACCTTCCATATGAGACCAGAAAAGTTGCATTTAGGGCTAGCCCATAGCATGGTGGCTAAGATGGCTGGATCCCATGTGGCCAACTGTGTGGTTCAGGTCCTAGACCCTGGTTTGAAAAATATGCCAGGGTGTGTGCATGCATACCCAAAATGGAGGAGAAGGGATTGCAGCCTGGCCATTCCTCACAGAGGGTGCTTTCTCGCTCAGCCTCCCTCTCTGCCTCTCTCCAATGAGTACATGTGCTAACAAAAAGAAACAAACAAACCCAAACCAAATACACTGCATCTCTAGCCTGGTACCTGGAAGGGTCCAGGGTCTGGGGCCCAGGGTGACCTCTCTGCCCCAGCTTTTGTCTTTCCTGAACACCCCGCCCCCAGGGCCCTACGGCGCCAATGTGGAGGACAGCGTCTGCTGCCAGAACTACGCCCGTCATGCCTTGCCCTCACGTGCGGTGAAACATTTCTACTGGACCTCACCCTCCTGCCGAAGACCAGGCGTGGTGTGAGTAGGCAGTGGGGGACCACAGGGCCTTGGGAGACCTGACAGGTGTAGCCTGGTGTGGCCCAGGTGCAGGCGGGTGAGGCAGGCCCAGGGCTGGGAAGAATGTATTTGGGCCTCCGGATGCCAGCCAGGAAGACAGCTCATGACGACTATTCAGCAAATATGACTGGGAGCCCACACGTGCCGAGCAATGTGCCAGCTTCCGAGGCTGCAGGGCTAAATGGTGAGGGTGCCACCCCAGCATGAACAGTGCCTAGCTGTAGGCTATGGGAATGGGTATCACACAGAGTAGTGGCATTATGCCTAGTACCACTGAGTCAGCAACAATGCTCCCAAGAAACATCTTGGATCCTCATTCCAGGCAGCCCATGTTAAAAATGAAGTTTATTCATTATTTGTTGCATGAGAGAGACAGGCATCCCCAACAGTGTCCTCATGCCGCCGTCAACCCCAGTCTCAGAGAAATGCATCTGTGCCCTGCGTGCCCAGGGACATGAGCCCAGGAACCCACCTTTCCCATGTGGGTCCAGGTACTGCTATGCCACTGCCTGGACCCCGAGGCAGCCCATTTTGACATTAAGAGCTAACCTTTGCAGGGTCCCTCCTACGGAGGGACTGTTCTGGGCATCACCTGTTCAACAACAATCGATCTTCACATCAGTCCTACAAGGAGGTTTGATGATTCCCACTCCACAGAGGGAGAATAAGGCTCAGCCAGGGAAAGCGATGAGCTTGCGACTTCCGAGCCTGGATCTTGCACACCTGGGTCTGGTTCCAGCTTTCTCCCAAGGTTCTTGTTCTGCATCTCTTGGTTTCCTTTTGCCTTGTTTTGTTTGTTTTTTAGGGTTTTGCCACAGGGCACATACGCTCCCGGGGTATGTGTGTGTGTGTGTGTGTGTGTGTGTGTGTGTGTGAAATCACCTCCCAAGGGAGATGGCCACACCACAATCCCTTCTCATCCATTCTCCTCTAGGGATTTTTGGGCACACACCCAGTGTGATTTTCCAGACTTGAACCATGGTCTGCCATGTGGGAGTCCAGTGCCTTAACCATCACACCACCTGCTGGCTCCTGTTTCTTTTTTCCTGACCTGGGGCCTATGCCTCTTTCTGTGGTAGCCCCTCTGCTGCTTCCCCAGCTCTCTGAGCCTGCTGCCCACCAGATCCCATGCCCAGGAAGTTCAGGGCTTGAGGACTCATGATCTCCTTTAGGGACCCATCATTTTCTTCTCATCTTCCTCCTCACGGCTTCCTATCCATCTCTCAGAGGGGTCTGCAGGCAAATACCAAAGTAGGCTGAAGCTGGAAGCCCTCCTACAGTTCTTGTCACTGTAATTCAGAGCCTCAGTATCCCATTAGGACAATGGAATAATTTATTTTCATTTGTCCAACATGCAGATAGAACGTGCTAAGGCACTGGGTAAGCATTTTATAAGTATGAAGGCACTGAATCTTTGAAACACTGTGCACTAGGTACTATTAAATCCCCTTTTTACAGTTGAGGACATGGGCACAGAGAGGTTAAGGGGTCTTTTAGATGTTGCAGAGCACAGTAACAGTAAGTGGGCAATCTGAAGCTCAAGGCCCGGTAAAAAAGAGATGCCCAACAAAGACAACACTCACTGTACAAGCAAGCACTCTAGAAAGAAAGGAGCTTGACACATGGAGACTGAGGCCCGGGGAGGGGCTGAGTATTCTCAATGGCCACAGTGGGTGGGGCAGGCTACCCAGTGGCCAGGATGAACACCACCTCC